TCAATTTGTAAGTAACGTTTGTTCTAGTACTTCTGTGATATATATAGTTGTACTCGGTTTCTTTCTTAAAACGACAGTACACCCTCCTTTCGGTCTTAATCTATTTTGAACTGGAGACTCTCTGTTCGTTCCAAGTGTTCGTTCTGTTCTGAGATTAGGATTGAACGTTCTGTATCTGTGTCCTTAATGTACAAAAAATGATGAAATTGATGATAATGAAAGTATGAAGAGATGATTGATAATGAAGATGAATAATGAAGGGATGTGGAGCTAATGAAAGAGAAATTGAGATGAATTGATAAAGAATGAGAGATGAAATGAAATAATGAGTGATTGAAATGAAAGATGACCGAGAATATGATAGGATGAAATGTTTGGATTCTGGACGAGGTTCCGGGGAGGATGACTCATGAATGTATATTGGAATTTGGTTAAAGTATGAATGGCGGCAGTGATGCGAAGCTGAAGACTTATCCCTGATGTTCGTGGATTTCTCGTCTCACGTAGAGGAGAGGTAGGAGTCATGTGTGGGAAAACGACAGGAGGGTCCCAGTCCTTATGTTAATTTGGACAGATAGGACTAACCTCGGTGACAGCTGTTGAGGGTATCCCAGTTACTACATCACCTCGGGTGCACGAACTCTGTAGCTACACAGATTTCATACAGTCCGGACGGTCAGTCTAGTATTAGGCTTTGTATGAAACGTATGATGAAATTGATCTTGTGTGTTTGATTGTGTGAAATGTATGTTTATACCTGAATTAAATTACATAAGCTTACCCTATTTCCTGTCTTGTCATGTATTCCCGTTCGTTCGTCTTTATCATTGCGATGATCACCCTGTGGGTGAGAGCAAAAGGAGAAGAGTTGCTAGAAGAAGCATTGGAAGAGGCGCTGGAGGAAGATAACTTAGTAGAGTTAGAAGTTAAGACTGAGCCGTAGAACCGTTCGGTCAATAGTAGTATGATAATAAGGTGAACATTCGATCACCTTTTTCCTTTGCTTTCGTTTTGACCGTTCGATATAGGCTTTTGTAAACCGTTTGGTCAGAATATATAGGACGTTCGGTTTTTAATTTTCTAGTCTTTTTGTAAGGTCGTTCGGCCTTAACCGTACGTCCTATCTTTGTAAGAACTTAGCTGTAAATAGTATTATATGTAATTCATTTATATTTTACACTGTATTTTTGGGATGTTACAAATAATGTCAAAGATAGATTATAAAGTAATTATTATAAGAAATATATAAATATATGTAGTATGTAGATAAGTGAATGTAACAAAATATATGTGGAAGAATTCTTATATTTGGCTATCCGGATGAGGATTGGTTGGTTGGGACTTCATGTCTTAATTTCTTATCTGAACTTCAAATTATACACGTGAAAAATATGAGCCATTTCTTTGGATTAAACGAGGTAAAAGTTGAAGTAAAATCATATTTTATTTTTTAAAAAGTAAGGCTTTATCTTCATCATTGGGGAATATTATGAATGAGCTAGGTCTTCAAAGACTTCAAATATGACATTCACAAACCTTGGTAAACTATAACCGGCTAAAATATGGAAACATATAATGTATGGCCCCTACCATCCACGATCTCCAACTCCACCCCAGACCTAATGTCAACATCTCACCCTTCTATGATGTGTATCTCATGTACCCCCTTCATATTCACTACCCCTACCCTCACCCCATTCAATTTAAACATGAACTACTAAGTTTTACTTCATTAGTAGGACACCCAATTACTACCAATATATTCTAAAGGTTTAATGTCTCGGTAGGTCCCTATTTTCGTTCAGAATCTCAAATAGGTCCCCAGACTATTCGGCGTCTCAATTGGATCCTTATTTTGTAAAATTGAATTCAAACAAAGGCTTGCCGTTAATTGATCAAACGCCGTTAAGGAGAGTATTTACGTGCATGCTGACTGTGTAGTTTTAATTGTACGTGGCATTAAAAACGTGTGTCAATATATTTTTTAATTTTGAATTAAAAAATGTAAATGTACACAGTGGAAATATAATTTAAGGAAGTGACAAGTGGAAAAATCAAAAGTGCCATAAAGCCTATTCTCAGTTGCAATTCCCAAAATCGAAATCAAATGGGGAAGGTGAGTTTCAGGGTTTGGAACGTTTGTCTTTTGCTTGAATCAGAATTTTCAAACGTTGGAAGGAACCGCTTTCTTCTTTTTATCCTTTGCTTAACCGCAACGAGAGAGATTTCTTCCTTTCTCTTACGGTCCGGGAAACTATGGCTGGGTATCGCAGGAACGAGAGATGACTCCGGCAGTGATGGCGGCGACGGTGTGGAGATGGCGCGACCAAGCGGCTTTTGTGGTGGTTTGCGACACGCGTTGGACATTCTTCTTCTTTTTCCCTTTCCCTCTTTTCTTGCGCTGAATTCAGCGTCGTAAGGGAGGGAGTTTCTTCCGTTTTCTTTTTCTGGTTTAGTTCTGGTTGCAGGGAGGAGGATGCGAAACCGGCGGATCACACGCAACGTTCATCACTCGCGAGACGATGCCTCTACGGTTACGAGGGTTTTGCGTTTCGTGGCAAGGTTTTCATTTCGGGGTTTTGAGTTCTCTGTTCTCGGTGTGGCCCGCGAATTGGGGGGGTGGTGGTTTTGATTCCCTTTTGCAGATTGTAAAATGATTTGGAATTCAACTGTTGCAATTTTGGGGTTAGGTTATGAAATTGGATTTGGAAATTTCTTTGAAGGGCTTGAAAATGGGAATTATTGGGGTTTCTTTTTCTCTCCACGGACCCTAATTTGGAGTCCAATTTTTTTCCCCAATCTGATTTTGATTTCTCAGTTGCAGGGCTGCTGCACATAATTTTTTTTCCCAGTTTGTCCTTAAATTACATGATTTAACATCTTTGCAATCCATTTTTTAATAAGAAAATCAATTCATACTCGTTTTAATGTCACGTGTGATTAATCAGTACAATCATCATGCCACCAAACCCAAACTTAAACGGTCGTTTGTTCAATTTGACGGCAGACCCCTAATTGTTACAATTTTACACAAAAAAGAATCCAATTGAGAAGTCGAAAAGAAAAGGGACCTATTTGAGATTCACGCCGAAAATAGGGACCTACCGAGACATTAAACCTATTCTAAATAAAGGAAGAAAACATTTTTTCTAAAAAAACTATTTCTTATATTTGTATCTATGTCAAATTAAATTAATTCTCAGTAAAGCTTGTGTTAAACATCGTTGTCACTGAAGAATTTATTAAAAAATATGAAAGATTATACTAAATTCATGACAAAAATACATTCTATATATAGATAAAATATACTTATTATAAAAAGTTAAATAAATACATGGATGGTTATTAAAAGTTAAATAAATACTTATTAAAAGTTATTTTGAGATTATTTGTCAATGATAAATATCTTAATGACAAAAATACTTAATGATAAAAAATACTAAATACTTATTTTTTAGAAGCTTTTATTAACTTTTTTTGTCTACCTCTACTAAGTTTCAATGTAGTTTAAATTGACTTATAATTATTTTTAGTATTATAATATTCTCTCACAATCAAAATAAACTTATTTAAAAGCTAATTCCAATTCATCTTCAAAATAGTTTTTTTTAAACATTAAAGAACTAGGAACAGTCTTAGAAGACAAACCAACCAAGAAATCATATTCCATAACACACCACTAATAGAAACATCAAGATTCTTAATAAAAAAAATTATTCACAATACAAATATTATCATAATACAAATATTATCATGATTAACTATCTTTGGCTTAAGCTGTAATTGAGAAGTAGATGGTATCACGGTAAACAATACCACAATAAGCTAAACCATAAGTTTCTTCACATATTGCTTTAGTGCATACTCTACAATATGTACCATGAATCACTAATTAGCCCTTAGTTTATGGACACCAACTAACCATTATGTTACTCTAAATTTTTAATTAACATAGCCATATTAATTATTTGTTGAAATTTCCTACTTTTATTATAACATATTCACACATTTAATTTTTTATGCAATCATCTAATATAAAATATAAAATTATACCATTAAATATATTAATTTTGTAATAATTAATTTAAAGATTATATGTAAAGTAATTTTCAATTAACTGGCAATACTTTCCACTCACAATATAACAAGCTGAACTAAATATAAAGAAGAAGAAGATCCAAATAGATTATAAAATTTAAAATATATTTTAACACGAAATCTATTGTGAGCGTAACATGAATTCAATTTCATTCAATTAATGCGTCTAATAACAATCTTGTAAGAAATGAATTCTCTATAAATTTATTAAAAGAGTTCATGCGTTTTTCTCATTCCATGGCCACTAGGTTTTAGGTTCAAAGTCATTCACTTTACTTAAAATATCATAACTATAGGACGATGACCTCAACTACAATTCATCAATAAAGTATCATTCAAATAAAATACATGAATATTTTTATCAAATATAAGAATTGGAATTAACATTTAAGATCAGGTGGACAAACAATTAAGGTTTAATACCTCTTTTGGTCCCTCGAAAGGGGTCAATGTTTAATTCGGTCCTACCTTTTTTTAGAAGTTCAATGTGGTCCCAACTTTTGTAAAAAGTGTGCAATCCAGTCCTTTTTAGAAACGGCGTTGAGTTTTTAACGGAGCAGCTGACAGGGTGGACTGAAGTTAGCTACGTGGCTGGTGTGTGGGTAAACGTGGCTGTGAGAGGGTGATACTGGTGTGCTTGTGGAGGGTTAAATGTTGATAATATACTAAGGTTAAGAAATCAGAAGTTAGGGTTTGAGGGAGTTGCAGAAGAAATTGGTGTTTGAGATACGAATGGCTTCTTCTGAAGGGTGTCGTCGTGTTCGAGAAGTTGGGGCAAAGGATCTTCTCGGTGGTCCCATGGTTGTGGTGTGAGAGGAGGTGGATAATCCCTACTTGTTATTGTGGTGAGGTGTTTGCAGCGTCTAATAATTACTTCTACCTGTCTTGTTCAACTTCGAAAGTCAATGGTTGTGCATCGAGCTTCTTGAAGAAAAACGCCAGCGAATAAACACAGACGAAAAGTCTGGTTTTCTAGCCGCGTCGTCTTGCCGTNGGATTCTCCGAAGCCCTGAATTCCCAACCTCGTTTTCCCGGATTCCCATCTTCCCGACCCGAACTGCGACGTTGTGAGCTAAGTTAGCCCCGGCGCTGTCGCCGGCAAGGAAACATTTTGACACATCAGCGTTTTCCGGCAGTACCATGCGATTCTCGTCGAGGAAGTGGAGGAAGAGCTCACCGTCGTCGTACTGTGACGGGTACCGGTGCTCCGGTGTGAGGCGGTAGTTGACAGAAACAACGACGGCGGGGACGTGGCGGCATATTCGGCGACAGACGGCGTCGTAGCCGAGGGAGTCCGGCGAGAGGAACGCGAAGCCACCCCCATGGAAGTAGACGACGACGGGGAGGGTGCCGGCGGCGGGGGAGACTGCGGGGGCGAATACTCGGAACCAGAGTTTGTTTTCGGCGTCAATGGTGACATCTTTAGAGGTAACACCATTAACGGGTGAGGAGCTGGCGTGTGCCTTGAGATCGAGAAGGTTCGTTAGACGGCGATTAATGGTGCCGTTAGAGCGACGCGCAGCGTCGGTAATCGTAGAAATAAAGGTTATTGAAATGCGCGCCTTCCATGGTATAACCGGTTTGGGTTTTGCCGTTTCAGAGCCTTTGGATAGCGCCATTGTCGTTTCTGCGTTTCCAAGAATGAGAAAAGCTTCAAATGGGGAAATTGCAGAAGAACGACAACATTCGCCAACTCGACACTTATTTCATTTTTCTGTTGTAAAAGGTAAGTGGTCGTTATTTATCACATCACTTTATGAGAATAAAAGCTTCCATTTCATAGGTTGTTTGATCAAAGTGGCTTATTACAAATATGAAAAATGGTATTTTGGTGTTTTCAGTTAAAACAGGATGTCCAAATAGTCCTTCCCTAAATTAGACTTCATGCCTTGGAGTTCCACCCTTGATGATAGATACACTTTCGGCCGATACATCATTATATTTCTAAATATTTTGTCATATGCTTTAAATATTTAATATGATCATTATTTTGTAGGTCTTGTATGGAATGGAATCACATTATTTTTATTTCGATTAAGATGTTGAGATCTCTTACTCGGGTTTATAGGCGACCGAATGATACAGGTGTAAGAGAACCTCTAAGTTATTTTTGGCTCATGGCCAACCAAGTGGTAAAGGTGCACCCACCGAACGAAACACGGTCAGGAAAAAGTCTCTCAGTCGTTCGGTCGCGACAACCATTGAGAAGAGTTAAGACGACTCATAGCCGACCGAAAAGTACAGGTGCAAGAGAACCTCTAAGTCACTTTAGGCTCATGGCCGACCGAGTGGTAAAGGTGCACCGACCGAACAGACAACTTGCAGGAAAAAGCCTCTCAGTCGTTCGGTCCCGACAACTATGGAGCAGAGCTAAGGCACAATAAATGTGATAACGGCTACCGTTAAACAATTAAGGTTTGAATTAATGACCATTAAGAGGTAAATTAATTGGTCAGATTCCTTTAAACTCTATAGATAAGGGTTTAGGTTCGAGGTAAACTCACGTTTTTAAACTGACGACAAAACTATAAGACCTATAGAGAAATTTTCTGACTTGAGCGTCGGAGTGAAGATTGAGGGGTTTTCTGATGGTTCTCTGTTATCCAAGTTCTGATGTTCTCTCTCTCCTTCTTGTCTAAGTTGTGATAGAGAGTATCTATCAAAGGCACTCTTATGCTCCAGTTAGTGACTTTATGTAATAATGTTTAATAAAAATGTCTGTCAAACATATATTTAAAATGAGTTTACCCTTAGGTCTGACCCATTACTAATAAACAACTTTCATTATTCCATTAATTGTCAATCAATAATTGTTATTATTATTGATTATTCTTTAACTACTTCAATGGTTGTCTTTACCGATCAATTATTGAGTAGTTAATTATTTGTCCACCTGATCCATTGGCGTAAGGGGTATTCATACTGTATAATTTGTTTAAATGTTGATTCCAATTCTTATATTTGATAAAAATATTCATGTATTTTATTTGAATGATACTTTATTGATGAATTGTAGTTGAGGTCATCGTCCTATATAGTTATGATATTTTAAGTAAATTGAATGACTTTGAACCTAAAACCTAGTGGCCATGGAATGAGAAAAACGCATGAACTCTTTTAATAAATTTATAGAGAATTCATTTCTTACAAGAT